GAGGCTGAGACAGAAGGATCACTATGAGTCCAAGCTGTGTAGTGAGACCCTGTATCCAATTAAAAAGGGTATCATGCTGTGTGTAATCTTTTGGACTTTGCTTTTTTTAACTAATAGATGCTAAGACCCAGAATTGGGTTGCTTTTTATTTTTAGTTCATGAGAATATTCCATTATGAGAGTATTCTACAACATACTTGTCATTCTCCAGTTTATGGGTATTTGTCTGTTTCCAGTGTCTGTGAAGAGTCTGCCACTCAGTTTTGTTTACATATTTCCTTGTGTACATAAGGAAGAGTTTTTGCCACAGGGGAGTGGATGTTCTGGGTCATAGTTTATATGAACATTCAATTTTAAGAGTTAGTGCCAAAGTGTTTTCAGATGAAGTTGTACAAATTAACATTCTCATGATCAATATGTAGCAATCTGGTGGATCTATATCCTCACATTTGGTATTGTCAGGTTTTTAAAACACTTGGTATATTAGTGGGCATAATGATTGTGGCTTTGATTTACATTTCCTTTTATCAATATAGAAGTTGAATACCTTTTACTTCCTATTTTTCCCCCCTATAACATGATGTTTCATGTCTTGTGTGCATCTTCCTATTGTTTTGTTTGTGTTTTTCTTACTGATTTTTAGGAATTCTTTACACATTTGTTTTAAAGTGTATTTGATACAGGTCTCACTACACAGCTCAGACTTGTAGTGAACCTCCTGTTTTCAGCCTCCTCAGTGCTGGGATTTCAGGTGTGTACTACCATACCTGGTCTTGGTGGCTGGCTCAGCATGCCCAGGGGCAGGGTAGGCATGTCATATGGTGCTGGGGATCGAACCTCAGTCCCTGCGCTTGCCTAAACAGGTGCTTAGCTGGCTGAGCTATCTCGCCGGTCCTGAAAACATTTTTCACTCCTTTCCTTTCCTTTCCTTTCCTTTCCTTTCCTTTCCTTTCCTTTCCTTTCCTTTCCTTTCCTTTCCTTTCCTTCCTTCTTCTTTTTTGAGACCAGATCTTGCTCTTTAGTTCAGGGCTGGTCTCAAACTCCAACAATTCTCCTGAATCAGTCTCCCAAGTCTTAGGATTACAGCTGTGTGCCACCATGCCTGGCATTTTTCACTTTCTTAAAAGTTGTTTTGATAAACAAAGGGCTTTAATTATACTGCAGTCAAAATTATACATCACCTATTTTATAGTGAACACCTCTTGGTTCTCACTTAATAAATACTTCTTAACCTCAAAATCTAGCAGAAATCATCTGTATTTCTACTACAAGTCTACTTATTATTTTCTCTTTTAAAATAATCAGGTGGAGGGAACAAATTTGACCATTGTTGGATTTTTGCTTGCTGGTAGCAAATTAGTCTTGGTGTGAAGTCATGCTTTCTGTGACTTAAAATATATTTTTGGTGCTGCCTGGGTCTTTGTCATTTAAAAGAGGCCACCTCTGGTGATGTTTCTAGACTTTACCTCATGTTGTGTCTGTAGTCACAAAGTGGGGTGGGTCCCTCATAAAGGTCATGGGTTTTCTTGTATTTCTAGAGCCCTTGGGATGAGGTAAAGGGTATCCTTATGCCTGGTAGGTTGTGCTGGTTCTTCTTTACTGATGACAGCAGAGGACTCTGAGGGGACAGCGACACCACTGTGTGAAGCTAGGGTATCCAGGTTGGTTGAGGTTTCCCAGTGCGCTGGGTCAATTCTGCTGCCTGCCACTCACTAGAAGGACAGCGAAATGTTCCAAAGCAGCCGCCTGTAAAGGCAGACAGGTGTAGGCACAGAGACACAGCTGTACCATGCTTGTTACCACCTCTTGTCTGGGAAGGGCAGGGGCTACACCTCTGAAATTTTGGGGAAATGAATGCTTACTGTTGCCTTATATGGAGAGGGGCTCCTAGGGGTGCAAAGACAATCAATAGCTTTTCCCTTGCCTGCCAGTTCAGAACTCCCTTAGGTTCAAGCCCAGAAGCTCACAAGCAGCTCATTGGTTGCTGCCCAATTTAGGGTCATCTTGGATCAATCAGTCTTTCATTTTCTGGGTCAGAGCTGTAACCAGCAATGTGGGGTTGAGACAGAACTGAAACACCAAATGTTGTTACGTCTGAGCACATCCTTCCTGTCACCCACAGTGACTTCTTCTAGAATTCCTGTCCCTACTCCAAGATTATGCCCCCAAATATTGACTATTGGCTGTAGGACACAAGGGGCTAGGTCACGTAACTTGCCACCAACCAGGGGACAATCCTTCCCATGACTGCAGGATGGTTCCAGGTCATGGTTGACTTCCCTAGTTTGCCTGTCTTAGCCATACTTACCTTTCCTACCCTTCTCCACTCTGGCTCAGTCCATGTTCCTTTCCCACCCCTCATCCCGTATTTTTGTGTTTGTTACATTGTCGACCCATAGTTCTACAAGGTTTTGAAGCAGATCAAGAAGTCCACCTGGGCTGGGACCAGAGCTCCTCATTGCCCACAGTGAATTCTTACAGAATTCAGCTTTGCCCCAGACCTCAGGTCATGTTTATCTTGGGCTGATATCAAAACCTAAAGGAGTCACTCTGGGAAGTAAGCCCAATGCCATGCTTTTCATGTCAAAGCATGAGTGCTTGTCCCTCCTGGCTTGTGCACATTTCATAACATCCACTGCTACCATTTCGTTGTTCCCATTCTTGGTGGGCTACATGAGGACTCTGGGAAGCAGGAGGCCGGGGCCTGCACTGTGGACGGCAGGTGTACACTTTGCTTCTCCCTCTTCTGTGTCCAAAACTCTGAGCCAACAGGGAAGCTGGCAAGAGCTCCATGGCAGGGCCCGGGGGATGAGCTTTGCTTCCCTGCTTGGCCACAGCTTCAGTCTGAATTCCATTTGCTTGAGCTGTTAGGGTTGAAGTTCCACATGTGGGAACTTTTTCCCTGGCCTGTGATTTTTTTCCCCTGGCTCCCAGGAGGCAGACGTAAGCACTCGCTCCTCTGTGTTTCAGGTGCTGTTTCTTTGAGCAGAACAAGGGCAGCCCAGGAGAGCAATGTCTCCAGAGCACACCTGCCTGGCCTTCCTCTCCACCTCACTCTAGGGGAAGCAGCTTCCGGGCAGGAACCTGACTGACTGTGCTTGTGCAGAGGGGTTGGACTTGATGTCAGGAGGTGGGTTCTCAGCTCCTGGCCGCTTGGAGTGATCTGGCACAACATCAGCCCGTCCCTGACACATCGCCTCCATGCCACCTGGCATCCAGGAAGTGCCTTATTCTTTTCAAGCGCAGAGGGCCAGTATTTAACATGACATTATCCCACTGCAGTATTGAGTTAACTATAAAATGAGATGATCCTTCTGGACAGAATCACTATCCACAAGACAAAATGATTAAATTTACAGCTTGATTGGTACTGATCAATATAAATGAAATGTGAAACAACTTAATGTATCCACCGGAAAGAACAGTGCAGCGGTTTTCTTCACACAGGTATTTCAGGATGTCAGTCCAACATTGAAAGTCTCTGCATGTATGGGATTCTCCAAATGCATGATTTCTTTTTCTTTTAATTTGTGTCTTTTATTTTTATTCTTTTGATACAGGGTCTTGCTATGCAGTTCAGACTTATAATGATCCTCCTGTCTCAGCCTCCCCAGGCCTGGGATTATAGGCATGTGCCATCGTGCCCAGTTTCGGTGGCTGGCTCAGCACACCTGGAGAACTGGGGCCAGAGTGGCAAGAACCTGGGTCCATATGCTTGGCAGGGTAGGCACTTAGATCACTGAATTATCTCCCTAACCCTCTTTTTCTTTGAATTAAGTACAGCACATCAACTAAATAATGGACCAGTCAGGATAGGTTGAATTATGCTGTATGGCAAGCAAACTCCAAAGCTCAACGATTCCAAATGGCAAAGACTGGCTCTTCGCTAAGTGCGTAGGTGGTACTGGCTAGCAGGGGCAGCGCTGACCATCGCAGTCCCTCAAGGACCACAGCAGTGCATCACTCAGGATCTTGAAGGTTTCCAGTCATCATATGAGAGGAAAGCAGACCTTGGGGCATCTTGCCCTGGATTGGAGTTGGTTCATGTCCCTTTTGTTTACAATTCATGGGCTAGGGTTGTGACCCCACCTATCACTGAAAGCCGGAAAATGTAGTCTTACCATGTGCCTGGCCAGCATAGGATGGAACTATTTGATGAGCAATGTCAGTGACAACCACATATGTGTTTATACTGTAGGTGCAAGAGTCTGGCTAGATTTTAAATAAGTCCTTGGGACTAGCTATTTAATGGTATTCTGCCATGACAGGAAAAATAATATTTTCTAGGACATGCCAGATTCTTTAAGATGCCCTCTGACCCATGGGTTTCAGAGATTCAAAGCCACCACCAGGGCCATGGAGAAAAGAGTGTGGAAGCCTCCACTTTTTTTTCCAAATTCTCTAACCTATTGTGAAGCCAACAACAATAAATGCACCTTGGTGTATAATCTCCAAGTGGGCAAATGCATTGCACATTTAATTTAAAGCAAGAGTGGAAAGAGTGGTTTTTGACTTATGTAGTGACCTCTTTTCCTTTTCCAGGCTGGGGGCTTCTGCACCTCTTGTCTCTGTGAAGTTTCTTGTCCCTAGGGGAGGCTGGAAGAAAAGTGCTTCTGTCTGCTTGCAGTGACCTCAGTCAGGTGCTGTGGGCTGTTTTCCGCGATGGGAGACACCCAGCCAAAAGTACAGCTGGTGCTCTGGAACAGGAGCTTACGGCATCCGGGCTGCAGGGGGCACTGAGGCTGAACAGTGATACATGGCTGTAGAAAGGTTATTTCAAAGTTGTTTTTTATTCAACTGTTATTCAGCAATATACAATACAGTTTATAAACAAGTGTCTGACCTTGTTTCCAATCTTTATTTATTTAAAAATAAATATTATTGACAGTGAATTTTAATTATGATGTGTCTTCTTTAATCAAAATGTCTCAAAAGAAATAATTTAATAAAAAAGAAAAGCCCCCAAAGAAAAAGCAAATTTAAAAAGAAATCCTAAACACAATAATCTACTAAAAATATTTTGCTTTGTCAGAAAGGTTTTGACCCAACTTTTTTTTTTTTTTTTTACATGTTATCCTAAAGGTAACTGCTCAACAGTTCGTGCAAAATGAAGAGTTGGAGGGAAAGTGTAGAAAAAAAAATACATTGAAGTAGAGAAATCACTGATCCCATGCTTACTGCATGGTCCAGATTCCATCTTATTTGGAAACTAGATGCATTATTTTAGGTGTTCTACGTTTGTGTGACTTCCCCAAAAATATGATTTAATTAATTTCTGTCTGGACTTCTTCATGCTGCTCAGTGTCTCTGGGTCTGCCCGGCCATGCGGTCCTCCCCGGTGAGCAGGCAGGGCGCGCGTGCCCGCTGAGGTCTTCAGGACGCCGGGACTGTCAGTGCCCCAGGAGCAGGCGCAGGAGCTTATGCAGCGCTAGCAGGAGCAGGGACAGCAGCGGGTCTGTGGCAGAGCTGGGGCCAGTGCCTGCAGGGGTGGGAGAACAGGAGAGGTGAACCCTGCAGTTAGGTGAGCGGGGGCAGCGTCCAGGCCTGCTGGGCAGAGTGCGACTTCCCAGTGCCTCTTGACCCCAGCTCCCGATTGATCTAGCAGAGCTGGCCAGTGGCTGCTTTGGTTTAACAACAAAGCATTTTGTTGCTGCTGTCTGTTATTTATAGAGCATACATTTTAGGAGGCTACTGTGACACAAAGTGCCCCTGGCCCGTGGGCAATGTGCTGTGCTGTAGTTCTAAAGTCTCAGTTCTTACCTTATTTATTTATTTTTTCAATTTATTTTTTTTATTTGGTAGAACCGGGGATTGAACTCAGACCCTTGCGCTTGCCAGGGAAGTGCTTATTCTACTGAGCCATCTCCCCGGCTCCACTTACCTTATTTTAATAAAGAAGACAATCTGCTTCCCTTGTCCCCTCTTGCATGAGGGTGCCATGACTACACACAAATCCACCCCACGTGTGTCCCCTCAGTTCTCTGCCTAAACTACCCCGCTCGGGACTCCGTGACTGTCAGTGCCCCAGGAGCAGGCGCAGGAGCTTATGCAGCACTAGCAGGAGCAGGGACAGCAGCGGGTCTGTGGCAGAGCTGGGGCCAGTGCCTGCAGGGGTGGGAGAACAGGAGAGGTGAACCCTGCAGTTAGGTGAGCGAGGTGTCCACAAGCTCTGTTTTAAATGTCCTGATGATTCGGCACAATCTTTTTTTCTGCAACCACGTTGCCAATTCACTCCTTATATTGCAGCGGGGAGCCCAGAAACACTGGTGAAGGCGGGTGGGCTCAGGTCCTGCAGAGATCCCTCCTGCTCCTTCAGTGCATCACCCTAGGGCCCTGGTCTTCCTTTGAGGCCCTCACACCAGCCTTCCTCTCATCTTCCTTGGGCCACCTCCCATCTCTCCTCTTCAGCAATTGTGAGGCTTCTTGTTAAACTAGAGAAAACCCACCCTTGAGCCCAGGCTTCTCACCTAGAAATAGGGACGCTCTCTTCAGGGTCCCCAGGAGAGGGAGTGACCCTTTGAGCAGCTCACTGCTGGGGGACATCCCTGGCTGAGAGACCAGCAGCTGGAACGCAAGCAGTTTCCAGCCTCTGTGTGCTCACGTGCACTTTGGTGATGTCATTTTCCTCCTTTCTTTTACATAGCCAGCTTCGCAGGGGCCCTGTGCCTGGGAGGGGCCCGGGAGGCTCTTCCTTGTGTCAATGCCAGATGGTGCAGAAGGCACGGCCACCTGCACTCAGCTGCCCATGGGAGCTGTGGCCAGTTCCCTGTGGTCTCACTTGGTGCAGATTTGTGGCTTCCCTGACAAGACTAGGCCTGAATGCATGACTCGCTCCTTTCTGCGGGTGGAAGTGCTTTAGTTTTCCTATCAAAGGTGTTTCCCCCATTCTATCATTCCTGCTCTGGCTCCAATTGTGCGTGTCACAGACTTCATGTTCTGGACCCCCTTTTCCCTCTTGTAAAAGGAAAGTGGACAAATGATCCAGTGACTTCAATCCTTGAAACTTCAAGATCGTATCTGGCCATTGTGGGAAACACATTGGGCTACTGTCTCAGTTACTCTGTAGTTACTCTTCTCTCATTGCTGGGACAAAATACCTGACACCCCAAATGAGGGAAGGAAAGGTTAGCTCAGCTCACAGTTACTGGAGGTTTCAGTCTATACTCAGCTGGCTCCAAGGCAGAGTGGCACATGGCAGAGGGCAACCTTTCATGGCAGCAGCAAAGAGCAGAGAGCAAAGGAAGGAGCAGCAGCAACAATGGCTGCAGAGAGCATGTCTGTCTCCCTTACATTGCATTCAGGCTCTCTGCCCCAGGCGGGGTGGAGCACTCATACCCATAATCTGGGTAGTGCTCAGACCCAGAATCCCAGCCTTGGATCATGAATTAACCACAAACTCTAGAAGTCCACCCCATAACTGCATGAGGCTTTGGGGAGACAACTAGACACAAACCATAACAGCTACATTCAGCCCTCTGAATGGAACAGGGCTGGGCTGTCTGCTGTGCACAGGCCTGCTCCAGACATGCTAAGCTTCTTCTTCAGCTCTTAATTTTTCATTCAGCCTCACCCCTGACCTTCCTGCAGCTTGACTCTGGTTGCCACTCTGTCTCTGGCCATCTATCAGCAGAAAGAACTGCAGTGCTGTAGTTACCCCAAAGACTCCGAATGTGTTCTGCTGCTCCTTGGGAAGGATGAGAGGCAGATGCAATGGGTGAGCTGATGGCTGACCAGGTGCCTGGACAGCACTCACCAAGGCTCAGGTGTATGGAGAACAGGGATCCAGCCGGCAGAGCCACGTGCTGCCTGGTAGGTCACTGGGGCTCCCAAGGTTAGATGGGCCCATGGCATCCTGATCTCCTGCTCAGGTCTTCACATGTATGCAAAACCTGACACTCAAGCAAGTGTGGGTGAGTGAGAAACAACCCTTATGAGGTGTTTAAGAACAGGTGTGTGTGTACTTGGGACTCTAGCACCTCAAGTCCACAGTAGCAGGAGAGCGACCAATGTGGCTGTAATTAGGCTAGCCTGGTAGCCTAGTGGAATTGTGGACATAGGAGATGTGAGGAGAGATTTGACTGTGCCTGCCAGTCCTGCTGACCAGTCATTGCCACTATAACAACCTTGCCTACTCCAGTTTAAACATTTCAAAATTGTTCAAGACGTTTGAAAGACCTTAGAGTCAAATAGCCAATCTGACCTCTGCAGTGGGCCAGAGAGGAAGCCACAGGGGCAGGAGGGCTTCCATGGTGACTCCTGGAGGCTAATGTATGGTGATGGTGGAGACCAGACTCTGCAGGATCTCTGCCAGTAGATTTCTGCAGGATGGCCATGGTTTGGCTCCTGTCTGGCATCTCATTCTTGCATTGTCATGGGTACCAGGAGAAGTGGTATGGGGCAGTGAGCTGGTCCTGGAGAGATGAGCAATTAGGCCTTGCTCTACTGCCAGGTTGCTTTGTGACACTAGGTAACACCCTTTACCTCTCTGGTTTTGTGCCACATTTTACAAAATGGACACAAGACCCAGAGAGGTATGGGCATGGCTCCATGAATCTAATACATGCATGGCTTGTCTCACTGGGCTGGGGGCTAGATTGAGCAATATCACAACAATAGATGGAAAAAAAGGGAACGGGAGCTTTCCCTACCCCCCAGAATCCATACCCTGTGATTGTATTCTTCCACACTATCTGTGGGCTTGGCCAATGACCTGCTTTGGCCAAGACTATTATCAGGGGTGAAGTCAACAAAAGCTTGAACATTCTACAAAATGTTTGTGCGCATTACAACTCGTCTTCCCTCTTGTAACTCTTGGAACTCAGTGACCAAGCCTTGGCTGACTGGGAGATAAGAGCATGAGATGTCCTAGCTGAGGTCCCTGTCAACCAGCTCCCAAGTGAACTGGCACTAACTGCCTGCACGAACCCAATAGAGACCAGCAGAAGAACTGTCCAACTGAGCCCAGCCCAAATCAGAGTGCAGGATCATGACCTAAGTAAATGGTTATGGAGCCACACCAAAACCACTGAGGGTTAGGGTCCTTGGTTACATAGCAAAAGCTAGTGCATGCAAGTATATGACGAAGAGAGCCTCAAAGTCAAGTACCATGCAAATCTATCTTCAGAAAGAGCCAGTAGTGCTAACTTCTCTGCACAAGGATGGAAAAAAAAAAACTAATTTGGGTGGTGTCCTGCTCTTGAGAGAGAATGTCTGTAGGTCAGCCAGGCAGGGAAAACTACCAACTTGACCACTTATTTTAAGACATCTGCAGATCTCTGGTGAAAGAAGAACCAAGGATTTGGAACTTTTTGCCACAGGCTTCATTGGGTGCACAAACACTGTTCTGATTTCTTGGGTGAAATCAGCGCAGACAGGGAAAACTTGTTTCTAGGCTTTTCCTGGAAGAAGTGGGATCTTTATGACAGCAGAGGTTTGGCATTCAGGGGTCTTGGAGTCCAGGTCTTGCCTCATTCGTATATGTGGCTTCCTTCTTGGAGCGAGACTGACCTACATCTAGTATGTAGCTGTGGCCCCTCTGCATTTGGGATCCAAGTATCTGCCTCACTTAGGGGGCCAAGATGGCCTCCCTCTGTGTGAGATGACAGGTCCTGACCCTTTTATGTTTTCTTTTTGAGACACTTTTAGTCTGGGTTGGGCTTGAACTCATTACATAGCCCAGGCTGGTTTTGAACTGACAGCAACCCTCCTGCCTCAGCTTCCTCCCTAGAGCTGGGCTGACAGGTGGGCACCATCCTGCCTGATCCAGCTCATCTTGACCTCCAGTGCAGGGGCCAGGAGGGTCCATTTGGCCCAGCTGAGGTCAGATCTTCTTCCCCAATGTGACCTCTTTCCTGACGGGGCTCAGAGACATCTGCTCCCGTGTACAGCACTGAGCAGGCTGGCTGACTCGGAGGCTGCTGTGCTGATTGGATGCTGTCTCTTGATCTATTTTCTCCCTTCCTGAAGAGTACCAGGAATAGCACTAGATCATGCAGAAGTTTACTTGGCATGATTAAGGTGGAAAATGAGACTGCTCAGGAGGTGAGGGAAGCCCTCTGACAGTGGAGCAGCTGATTTGTCCTGTACATTAAATGAGCATCAGCACTTGGCTAATCATTCTTCAAGAAATCAAAGCCTTTTTGGCTCCAGATTAAGATGCCAATTAAGATATTAATTTTTATCATTTAGATAGGGAGCAGGATGAAAGGCACACTGGAGCCATTTAAAAGAGATTCAGAAGGAACATAATAGAGGCATTCATTCCTCCGCACCCCCACCTCCTCAGCACCAGCAGCTTCTGCTTGGGAAATTCCTCATCTCCATTGATCCAGGAATGACAAATTCTAAAGCCCTGTCAGGAAGGAATATGGAAGCTTTGAGGCTTTTTAGTACCTGGAGATGAAATTAAATGACAGGGCCATGTTTAGGACATGATCCGAGACCCACAACCACCCACACCCCTTAGGGCCATGCCTGTGA